TCAGATATTACACGTAATTGCATTGTTTGAGAGTGTTAGTAAGCAGGTTTAGATCGACTGATTGCCTGTCTTGCTGTGTTTTAAAATATTGCGCACAAGAGAAAATGTGTTAGTAGTACATTGAATTATTGTGTGATTATCCTAAATTTGCGTAACTTTCCGCACTGTTCTGCGCAGACCGCGACAATAGTTTATAATGTTTAACGTCACACAAACTTTATAAATTTAATTTCTTCAGTTATTTCTAATTATTTATTCACCGACCGAAATTTACAATTCTATTTTTAATTTATAAATTTTTAAAAAAGATTCCATTTTAAATCGCGAAAGCGAAAAAATTTTGTTTCCGCTTTTTTTTTTCCTCATTAAAATTAAGAAAATAAAATGTATAGATGTGATGAATGTAATCAGAAATATGCATATTATAATTGGTGCGAACCATGTTACTCAAAATATTTCAAAAATAATTTTGATAAATGGACAAGCGGAAATGAAAAAATAGATAAATTTATTCAAGATGTCCAATCAAATGCAAATCGATATAAGAAAACGATAGAATGGATACCTTATAATAGATTTAAATATATCAAAGAAATCGCTAAAGGTGGTTTTAGCACTATATATTATGCTAAGTGGATTGATGGATATATTTTGGAATGGGATATTGAAGATCAACAATGGATCAGAAGTGGTCAACATGAAGTGGCATTAAAAAAATTTGATAATTTTGCAAATTTAAATGAAGAGTTCTTAAATGAGGTAAAATATTTTTTTGAATTATTATTATACAATTTTTTGAAATATATAATACATTTAATTATAATTTATATAAAAAAATTATTTAGATGAAAATTCACTTGAAAACAATAGATCCCTTAAGTTATTCCATCCGAATTTATGGAATAACAAAAGATCCCGAAACTAATAAATATATGATGGTTTTAGAATATATGCGTGATGGAAATCTTAGAGATTATCTAAAAAATCATTTCAATAATATTAATTGGAATGATAAATTACTTCGTTTATCTAATTTAGTACTTGATTTTAATCAATTTCATAAATTAGATATAGTACACCAGGATTTTCATCCTGGAAATATTTTATTAAATAATTTTAAATTCAATTTATATATTTCAGATTTTGGATTAAGTAAATTAGTTGGAAAAAGTTTAGAAAATTCCAATAAGAGAAATATCTTTGGTGTATTACCCTATATTGCTCCAGAAGTTTTATGTGGAGAAGAATATACAAAGGCTGCTGATATATATTCTTTTGGAATTATTGCTTATGAATTAATTACTGGGTTTGCCCCATATTATGATGTGCCGCACGATAAAGATCTGGCAAGGCAGATATGCAATGGATTACGACCTAAAATTCCATTTCATACTCCAAAATTAATTACTAGAATGATTATGAGGTGTTGGGATGCTCGAGTTGATCATCGACCTACTTTTAAAGAATTGGATGAAGAAATGGTAAAATATCATGATGATTATATCAGAAATGATTTCAAAAATAATAATGAAATTACAATTCAAATCGATAATGCCGAAAAATTTTCCAAACACCTGGCAAATACAATAACTATAAATCCTTATAATTACAAAACACATCCGCAAGCAATTTACACCAGTCGACTACTTAATTATTCAGGTCTTCCAAAACCCAAAAATGAAGAAAATTTTGAAAAAGAACTTGAAGAAGCAGCTAAATCTGCTTCTGCTTTAAGTGTCAGTAAGTGTCAATTATTTTGTCATATACATATTACATTATATTTATTTATATAATTTTTTATTAATATTATTTCTACCTTTATTTAGTTGCCTCTGGATCAATTAACATGCGTGTACCTGATTCCTAATTATATTTTATAAATTAGTGTGTTTTATTATTATTATTTTACGAATTTGATTACTTAAAATATTAATAATATTTATATTAATAAGTTTGTAATTGAAGATTTTTAATTATAATAACTGTAAATAAAAGTTTATTAGTGCAAGCATTGGAGCAGGCTTCTTCACATCCGCCTCGGAGTGTTCAACGAAATACTACGGTCTCTTCACCACCGCAAAATTACTAATCATTATTTTATTTTCCGGAATCTAGTTTCAAAGAATATACTCTTATCCTGTATTTTTATTTGTATTTTTTAGTCAGAGACTCGTGGCTATGCCACTATTTATATCGTATCAATAAAGTAAGCCCTGGTGGTTCGATTTTCATATATAATCACGTTTACTTGCAGGCATGTAGTACCCTTATTTCATAAGTGTGTATTTCGAAATCTATTCTGGCCGTGCTTGCTGATATATGCATTTGATCCTTTGATAGTCACGTGATATATTCTGATAATATTATTTTTCTCTTGTACTACAATTGTTTCGTTAAGAGAATTAAATATCAAGCTTACAGTCGAGATCAAATCACTATATATATAATTGCAACATATAAACTGACTACTAACCTAATTAAAATAGATTTACAAGTTCTTAAAAGTTAAGAAACAACAATCAATATAAAATTTTTGCGTGCCCTTTTTAGCCACCTTTTTACGGACTTTATGAAAGAATGTATCATAGTCGGAAATATCAATAAGATACGAATCCACACTCACTTCATCACTATCAGATCTCGCCCATAAATTAGTGTAGCACTTTATTTCTTCCCTTATAATCTGATCAAGTTTTTTTTAGCATATATTCCAGTGATTTGCTCGTGAAGGTGACATCTGTTGGATAGGAAGTTTCCATCCATGATATATCTTCTTATGTTTTTCGGAAATAACGATATTATATCCTTCTTGTTGTGCAAATTTGATATACAATTCACATAAGTAACAGCCTTTCTTGAATACTGTTATAAATGCCCTAGTTTTCCTTTTCTGATTTACTATTTTGGTCAATATGTTCATTTCTGCGTGTATTTATGTGCGTTTGTTAATGTTTTCTAAGTCCAGTTTTTCTTTGCCACCATATATTTGCACTAGTCTGGTCGCTATGTTAGAATAATCCAAACACGCATTCTCAAAATCTTCATACTCCTTGGGATCAGGGATAAACCTTTGAATAATATTTTTCCATGAAAATACGGGCTGATCAGTAATAATAGGTTTCAACCTACGTAATTCTACACGAGAAAATAGGCCTTCGTATTTTTCACTAGAGGCATAATTTATGACATTAGCCAAAGACCCAAAAATAAGATCCTACCTTTTTGAGATGCTTTAAAAATGCTTTTGGAATTGTAATATTTCTAGAAACCTCTTTATAATAATAGCAACAAATGTGGGATATTTAGATTCTTGACGCTAAAAATATATTTTCAACCTGACGTGAATTTATTGAAAGCTTTAATATATTGTTCGTTTTTATCATTTCTTAATTATTTCTTAAGTTTATCAAATTTGGAATCGAACTTAGCAAAACAGTACATTATTACTTCATTGAATAAATCCTGCGTAATATCCATATCATATGCCTCTAGCCATTTCATAGGTTTCCAGTTAGATATAATTCTCAGGTATTTCTGGATTTTTCGATATATCCAACATCTTCTTTAAGCCAATCACCATTCTTAGAAATGCAAATTGGAATAAGTTTCCAAATTTACTGCTACCACTTCTCTGTCTCTTTCCAATATTGTTACTAGATTATGAGAAAATTTATAATTATCAGTCAGGTTAATGTCTTCGTCACTCTCTTTTTCAGCAACAAATTTGATACTTCCAGCCACTTGAATTTTACTGTACAATTCTTTCATTTCGTTGTACCCCATCTTGTGTATCTTACTGTACAGAATTTTATTTGTTGCCATGCTTTTATTATATTACCGTATTGATACGGTCAGTGTATAACATATCAAAGAGATTTTATATATGTAGAAACAGAAAAAGAAAAAGATTAATGCGAAGCACATCTTCCTCTTCTGATATACAAAAGGGTAAATCCTGGTATGAAAATTACGGGATAAAAATTCCATATAATAAAAGAGTAGAGCAAGACTTAAAGCACAATTTATCTATATTCATTAAAGAAAATAGTAATAAGTAGTAATGTTTTTGATATACAAAATTTCCGAATTCTCCGTAGAAGTAATTATAACCGGATCTAGCAAAATTACAGCATAGAATATAGCCGATTTATTTATAATAACAATGAAAGTTAGACAAAAAGAGATTTTAAGCTGGTTTTGTTACTATAAAGCATACGAGGATCGAATCGAAGATATTAAATGTATAAATAAAATTGATAACAATCAGTAAGAACATTGATATAAAAGCACTTCTCCCAGATATCAGTGATGTAAATTTGCGTCAAAGAACATTCAGAGCAAAAAAAATTTATACTTTACTTATGGGAATAGGAATAGAAAAAATTCAAGTGATGACATGTAGTACAAGTGCAATTTCGAGTTTAACTGACAATCAGATTCAAGATATTATAAATTGTTCTAAAAATTCTAGTTACAGTGAATGCGAGTAATTACGCTTCAAATAAAATTAACAAAAAATAAAAAATTTAATCTTTGAACTCTACCCATACCGCACTCGATGGATATTAAAGATAGATATCAACTATCTTATATAAAAATGTAGCCAGAAATAATATCTACAATTTTAATTAGAAGCATTTTTCATAGTATCTAATAAAAATTCTGACTTTACTTAGACGTGAATAATAACGGCCGAGATTTATTAAAAATTTTAAAAAAATAAAAAAAAATCTGAATATATTTATCTATCGTTTCTGCATATAAAAATTTATTATTTATTAATATAGTAATAAAATGCCCATTCGACCAACTTAAACAACAACATAGTAGATAATCTGGTCAAGATAACAGAGCACAACTGGTTGAATTTCAACAAACTGAGAATCAATTGGGAATATATCAACATCCTAGCTATTCCAACACTCAAGAACAAAATCATAGAAGAACCTATCAAAAAAACCATTCAGGCAATTAATTGTACAGCAGCCTTTTATAAATGGAAAACACAGAACCGCACATTGAATTCAATCTCCAAAAGAAAATCATACATTATAAACTGGCACTGTTATCTCTATTTTATTTTTAAATTTATTAATTATTTATTTATATGTTTATATATTTTATTATCTTATTTATT